TTTTCATGTTTGTTTTACTAACTTTCAAAGTCATAGCAATGATATTTAGGTTTTATATGTAGAGTAATTTTAAGATATCATTTTAGTTATGTAAATTTATAATAATTCACATTTACTATGTGTAATATTAGTTAAAATAAAGTTCAAATTTTGCATTTATGTTTACAAAATAAGAGAAATTTCGAGGTTGATAGCATTATGTAATCTATGTCTTGTGGCATTTTCACCCCGTTTTATTTGTTTAACATATCCTTTATAGTTTGATATGCCTTACCTTTGGGATTATGTGGTATGCCTGTAACATGCTTAAAATTATAATAACTGAAAAAAATTGCTTCATTTCTTTAGAGACATACCCTGGACCGTTATTTGTCTTTATTTGTGCCAATATAACCATGATGGCCATAACTTCTAATAAATGTGTGATTACTGAATCAGCCTTTTCTGAGCTTAAAGCAGTTGCTCACTGAAAACCTGAAGAAGTGTCAATGGTGTGGTGTACATATTTTAAATTTCCAAATTCTCCAAAATGGAACAATCCATCTGCCAAATTTCATTCCTTTGAGAACCCTTTAGGTTAGTCCCTGCAGGTAGTGGTGTTTGGTTATAGAAAAAGCAAGTAGTGCATCTCTTTATAATCTCCTTAACTTGTTGCCATGTAATAGAAAACTCTTTCTTTAAACCTTTGCTATTGACATGATGTTTTTTATGACATTCTGAGGCCTGTGACATGCTTCCAATCAATAATTGATCAATTTCTGCATTACCTTGTGCTAGAGGACCTGGCCAACCCATATGGGATCAAATGTGTGTTATGTATATAGGTCAAAGCCTATTCCTGATTATGTCTTGTATATGGATAAATTAAGTTAATTCTGTATCATCTGGTATAAATTCAGTGGTTTCAATATGCAAGAGAACTCCTTCTGCATATTTTGAATCAGTTATGATATTAAGAAGTTCTTTAAAATCCCTTAGCACAATGAGATTAGCATATGATTTTGCCTTCTAGACAGAATTATAAGGGCTTTGTACTTAATTCAACAATTGTCAATTCCTTTTCTGCTTCAGCTATTAATTCTCTGGGACTATTCAAGTCTTTATCACCATTTAAGGTTTTATTTAAATAAATTATTAGATCAGGTGTTATCCCTACAGCCGGTCATAGACTGGAAATGCCTCCTAACAGTCTTTGAAAGTCATTAGGAGTATACAGCCAGTCTCTCTTAATTTGTTCCTTTTGTGCTCTAATTTTCTGCAAACCTATTTTATAACGTAGGTAATTGACAGAATCCCCTCTCTGTATTTTTTTCAGGAGCAATTTGTAGTCCCTATTTTGGCAAAACTTTGTTTACTTCTTCAAACATTTTTACTAAAATATCTATGTTAGAATCAGATAGCAAAAATGACATCCATGTAATAATAAATTATAGACTTAGGAAATTGCTTACATATTATTTCCGATGACTGATTTACAAAGTATTTGCACAGAGTGGGGCTATTGAGTATTCCTTGTGGGAGGATAGTCCATTGTTATCTCTTAGTTGGCTGAGAATTATTATAAGTAGGCAGGGTGAAGGCAAATTTTTCTCTCTCCTTTGCTTGTAAAGGTATAGTTAAGAAACAATCTTTTAAATCAATAACTATAAGAGGCCATCCTTTTGCTAATAGAGAAGGCAAAGGGATTCCAGATTGTAGAGGGCCCATAGGTTGAATTACCTTATTGATAGCTGTTAAATCTGCCACCGCTCTTCATTTACCAGATTTTTTTTTACAACAAATACAGGAGAATTCCAAGGCCTGGTTGATTCTTCAATATGGTGAGCATTTAGTTGCTCTTGTACCAGCTGTTCTAAAGCCTGCAACTTATCTTCAGCTAGATGCACTTCTTAACCCATATTGGTTTCTCCATTAACCATTTTTAAAGGTAGGGCTGTTGGTACCACTAAAGGTTTGCTAGTTGCTTATGTTCTTGTATAGCCTGAATGGCTTGCGACTTTTGTACATAGTACCTTATAATATCCTTCTCAGGATTATGAGTTCCTGGGACTGCAGGAATGTTAATCTGGGTATTCCATTGCTGCAGCAGGTTACAACCCCATAAATGTACTGCAATGTTAGCCACATATTGCCTCAGCTTCTCTCTTTGACCTTCTGGCCCAATACAGACAATCCATGTCATGCTTTGTTTAACTTTAGATATGGTTCCAATTTCTAGTAATTGAATATCTGCCTCTTGAAGAGGCCAATTTGGATGCCAATATTCTGGAGTAATGATACTCACATCTGCACCTGTGTCTATCAAACCAACAAGTACAATGCTATTTATATGCACTCTTAGCTTTGGACTTTGATCATTTATAGAAGTCTGCCAGAATATATGTTTGCTATTTCCTATTGGAATTTTTGACTTATCCTTCATGTTTATGTCATCATCTCCAACATTATGGTCTTTTACAGAAGGCTCTGGATTTTTTTTTTTAATTTTCCTGGTGAGACATGTCTTCCGCAGTGACTGGAAATGACTGATCCACTTTTTTCTTGGCCACCTGCAAGATGCCCCTCAAGGAGTTTCCCTATGGTATGGGGTTTCCTTGTCTGTCTTTTGCTGAACTGCATTCATTGGTCAAATATCGGCCTTTGCCACACCTTTTACATAGACCTAAAGGCTAAGTCCTCCTATTCTTGACATTCCCAGAGGAGATATTATTCCTAGGAATTACTTGCTTACAATCCCATCTTAGATGTCCTATTCTACCAAAATTAAAATATTTGGTATTTTGATGTTTTCTCATCCCTTTGGAAATTGCTTCTTCTACACAAGATTCAATAATATAGTTTTTTTTTTCTGTGAGGGTCAAAGTTATGTGTTAATTTTTATTTATTTATTTATTTCTGTTTATTTATTTATTAAAGATTTCTGTCTCTTCCCCACCACCTCCTCCCATTTCCCCCCCCTCCCCCAATCAAGTTCCCCTCCCTTGTCAGCCCATAGAGCTATCAGGGTTTGCTGACCAGTGGGAAGTCCAAAGACCACCCACCTCCATCCAGGTCTAGTAAGGTGAGCATCCAAAATGCCTAGGCTCCCACAAAGCCAGTACGTGCAGTAGAATCAAAAACCCACTGCCATTGTTCTTGAGTTCTCAGTAGTCCTCATTGTCCGCTATGTTCAGCGAGTCAGGTTTAATCCCAGGTTTTTTTAGACCCAGGCCATCATGCCTTGGTGAGTTCCCTATAGAACATCCCCATTGTCTCAGTGTGTGGGTGCACCCCTCGTGGTCCTGAGTTCCATGCTCATACTCTCTCTCCTTCTGCTCCTGATTTGGACCTTGAGATTTCTGTCTGGGGCTCCAAACTGGGTCTCTGTCTCTGTCTCCTTTCATCGCCTGATGAATGTTAATATTCAGGAGAATGCCTATGTGTTTTTCTTTAGGCTCTCCTTATTTAGCTTCTCTAGGATCACTAATTATAGGCTCAATGTCCTTTGTTTATGGCTAGAAACCAAATATGAGTGAGTACATTCCATGTTCCTCTTTTTGGGTCTGGCTTACCTCACTCAGGATAGTGTTTTCTATTTCCATCCATTTTTATGCAAAATTCAAGAATTCCTTTTTTTTTACTGCTGAGTAGTACTCTAATATTATAGTTTAATGTCTCAATGCTCATTATATACAGAATCTATTCATCCATAGGTGCTGGTCTAACTTTTAAAGGCCCAAGTATTTTTTTTTTTTGAATTCTAAGTTAGCATTTTCAGAAGCCAGAGATTCAATAAATACGTGTCTAACATCTGGGTCTGTTACTCTGATTTGTATAGCTTTAGTTAATCTTTGTAAGAAGTCACTAAAGTGTTCTCTCTGGACCTGTTTAACCCTGGTATATGATTCAGTTCGTTTTCCTAGTTCTTTTATCATGTCCCAAGCATTTAGACTGCTTTGTGGCATAGAGACAAGATTTGTTCATTGTAAGGAGCTTTAACCTCTGGGTCAGCATAAGTGCTTTGTCAGAGTAGATTACAGGGTAGGAAGCTAAAACCTTGGGTAAGTCATCTCTGACAGCTACTGGTATTTTTTAATTCTGTCCTTGTGCCTTCTTTCCCTGTTCATCAACTCTAATAATATCCTCAATTATTTCAAATCTTTTTATTATTGTCTTTTATAAATCCTGAATGTCGTGGTCTGTTATAGTTCTAGTAATTTCCTTGAGGCACCTAGTCTCTGGTTCTCATTCTACACATGTGATTTAAAAGTCTGAAGATTCTCCTTTAAAGATAATGCCTCATCCATGGACATTAGTTGGGTTGCATGCAGATTGCCATCCTGGAGATATAACCTATCTGCTAATATATCATAACATTTTAACATATTTTGATTGTCAAATTCAACAATATAAATTCTTTCAGATAACTTCTCAGTACCCTTAGATATGGATTCAATTTTGTCTGTCAAATTTATGTTATGCTTTTTAATATTATTAATTTTTTAGATAACTTTTGATTTTAGATGATATTAATCCTGTCAACTAGGTGTTTGTAATTAATATGAAAAGACTCTATCATTCCTAAAAGTACCACATTCTTTCTTAATGAGAGAATATGAAGAAATAAACTGAGTCCCAATACCCAATAAATGGAACTATCACCATAGCCATATAAGCCTAATATAATCCATAATATTAGCAAAATGTTAATGTTTCAATATTACTGTAACATGCCATATTGATTTATTTATTACCTGTTCTGAGATCTGGTAATTTTTTAAGTGTAATAATCATTATTGTTCAACAGATGTTGTGGTTGCAGAGTTGCATTGGGACAGAAATGTTACTGAGCCACTTTATTTTCTGAGCCGCTTTAGTTTCCCAACTTGGTACTAGTAAAATATTGAAAAATATGCTTTACTTAATAAATTAAAAGCAATTAAATTAATTCCACATACAGAACAAGAAACTCAGAACGTACAGGTAGGGAGCAGAAACCGGAAGCTGCACAAGTTGCTATGATGCAAGGCACTGTGCCAGGAAATCGCACCAGGGAATGCAGCAGTCTTGCACGTACTTGGAAATTTTTCAAGTTGCCACAAGCAGTAAGTTCTGCTGTGGCAGGGGTTCTTCAAAAAGCCACTTAGGTAAAAGCAAGCCAAGTGGGCAGGGTTGGAAAACTGTCTGGGCCATGGAACAGCTAGGCCTATAGGCCATCCACCCAGTAGGTGTAGAGTCTAAATCCATGTGGGCACCAAATGAAGAAGGATTCTTAAAAGAAGACACACACTAGCTCAGAATTGAGAAATAGACTCACAAATCAGAATCCTCTGCTGCAATGGTGATCAGAAACCAAATCCCGCAGCCAGAAAAGAGGCCAGACGCATGCTCTACTATCAGCATAAATAGTATAAGAGGCCACACCCCAATGGACGTGTAACTACTGGCTGTAGGATTTCCTACAGCAACTGCTTACTGTGGCAAATCACTATTCTTCTAGCAGTGACTTGAGAATAAGTCTAAGGAGAACAAGATTAATTAAAGTTTCAGTCCCCAATTAAACAAAACCTGTACAGTGAATTATCTAAGTTACACACATAAATGAAGTCATTCTCATAACATTCCCAGTGAGAAAGGACTATGCAGGTATAATTCCCTTTACTGTCAGTCATTTTTGATGGTTTCTGAACCAGGCACAAATGTCAACAAAACAGGCACAGACATTGGTGGTTCGGAATTGCACATAAAGGCAACAATTGATATTTTGAGACTAACACAGATAGCCTAGCTCTGTGTCGTCACAAGGTCTTTGCAGCATAAGTAATCATTGATGAATCCAGGTAGTAGAATTACATCATTGACAAAAGCACAGATTTTAAGATGCCTGGACCAGGGTTTGGCAGGATAGGGCAGAGTGCTGTGCTATTATCTATTGTAGCCCTGAGCAAATGTTGGGTTGTGTAAAGACAGATAATGGAGACAAGTATTATCATGTAGGAAAGAAGATTGATTAGATACTGCTTCAGGCACATATGATTCCAAGCAGTCATGAGCTTAAATGGATGGTATTTTTTTTTTTTTTTTGATTTTTGAGACAGGGTTTCTCTGTAGTTTTTGGTGCCTATCCTGGAACTAGCTCTTGTAGACCAGGATGGCCTCGAACTCACAGAGATCCTCCTGTCTCTGTCTCCCGAGTGCTGGGATTAAAGGCGTGCACCACCACCGCCCGGCAATGGATGGTATTTTTAACTGCTTCACAGGAAGCAGGGGAAAAAAAAAAGATCTTTCTGCTAGTCAGTGAGTCTTGAAGAGTGCTTAGGATGATGAGTGGGCAGGCAAAATGAAACTCAGAGAGGGAGAGAGAGGATACTCTGCAAGATAAATCCAGTAGAGGTCAAGCAGTCCCTGAATAATACCACCAAATGTGGAAACTGAACTGTGTGTGTCCTCCAGGTGGTGGCACACATCCCAACCCCAATCACCAGGTCAACTTCTGATAATCTATAAAACCACCAATTTTTGTCACAATATACAGACAACTTTTCTATTGAAACATTTTTCTATTTTTTTTCAAAGAAAATGTAGTTACCACTTGACAAACTTACTTTTCTATGCAGTCACAAGAATCCTGACTATGAATAAAAATTGGACCGTACCCGAGACCTCTCTTCTTTGCTTATTGCTAACAATGACAATGTTCTCCATACCAACAAAGACAATGAAGTTGCTTTGCAAATTTCAGCCCCATGGTCATAGAAATAGCCTGGTCCCCTCCCTCTTTCCTCATTAGTCTGAAGTTTTAGCTTTACTATTTTGAAAATTACAACATGTCTTTGAATATCTTACCACATAAAAGTTACTTAAAAGTTAGGTATGTTTAGCCTATGGTGGTAAACTGTTACCAATATTACTTTTGAATATTGGACCTGCCGCTGCATTTGAAGGCTTGGCTGTCTGTAGGGTACTGATGCCTGGGTGCTTTTAAATAGATGTTGAAAGAATTACCTAAAATAGTAAATAAGAAACTCCTTATTTTCAGGCCAAAATCTAGTAAGGTAAACTATGAAGTACTTCATTATACTATAGAGTTTTAGAGGAAGTTTTAGTTCATTTCAACTAGTAGCTTCAGGGTATTAGAACAAGTACAACATCAAAATATTTACTTTGCATTTGCCAGCACTAGACTTGACTTAAAGCAATATAGCCTTCCTGATCTCTGGTGTCACACCAGAGCTCAACCTGGAAAAGTTAAAACATAATGTTTCTTCTTAGCAAGACAATCCAAAGCAAGAAATGGGTGAGAAAAGAATACATTGTGTGTGCACTATTTTTTTGTTACTTAAAACTCAAGTAATATTGAAAAACTGACAACAATGACAGGTGAACGGATCATTTTGCTACTAATTGACTATCATCAGTAGTATAATGGAAAGATAGCAAGTTCAACTTCCCATTTAATCATTCATTCAGACAAGATCTGAATGAATGCCCTATAGGCAGACAGACCTTCAAATACAGTATGCAACTGTAATATTCTAAGGGATGATGGCCTGGGAATTTATAAGGGTCGTATATGTATATTTGTTTGTGTTTGTATATGTATATATGCATATACATATGGTATCTATTCCAATGTATATAAAATTTCTGTTTGGAAAAATAAATTTAAGAGAAGTATGATAGAATAACCATAGTTTGATATTATATACTATATTCTTAAAGATTGTAATGACACATATTGTGTCCTCATTTTAAAAAGTATATAAGGTTATATATGTATATATAGCTATTTATTATATAGCATATATAATTTTTTAAACAACATATTGTACATACACTATTTTTGTTAATTAAATCTTAAATGATATTTATAAACTGTCAACATTAACATGTGAAAGGACTATATTCTATGAACTGACTATCATTAATAATGTAGTAAGATAATATTAAGGTGTCAATGTTCCCATTTAATTATCATGCATTCATTCAGAAAAGATATTTTGTGTACTCAAGGTTAACCTTAAATGAATGATTATCCTAACTTCTTCACCACTGGGATTATCAACATGTTACCAACATGACATTTATATTTCTGTGTGCATGTGTGTGTGTGTGTGTGTGTTTGCATGTGTATGTGTGTGTAATTGGATAATGAACTCATCATGTCTCATATACTTCATGAGTGTTATAATATATATATATATATATATATATATATATATATATATATATCCTTCTTTTAACTTTTAGAGAAGTTCTCACTAAATGGTTAGGGTATCTTTGAATTCTCTTTTAGGTAGACAAGCCCTCAACTTTTGATCCTTTTTCCTCAGCTTTCTGAGTAGATGATATTATAGAATTGTGCCACCATTACTAACTTTGGTGGTTGGAATGAGATGTACAGTATAATTTTAGGCAATTTAATGCTTGGTCTTCAGTTGGTTGCACTGATTGAGGGATAGATAGTTTAAGAGGTATGACCTTTATGGAAGAAGTATGTTACTGAGGATTGAGACTGTAAAGCCTCATGTCATTTCCAGTTTTCTAGTTTCTTACCTGAGGTTCAAGATATTAACTACCAGCAACTGCTTCAGCTATTACACCTAACACCCCATATCTTCAGTTCATTGTTGTGGTAACTTCTCCCAACAATATCCTTAAGAAAGCAGCCAAATTGAGGCATGGTTTCATGTACTATATAATTATAGTACATGAAAAACATGTGTGGCCTCCTTTTCTGCTGGATTTCATTCCAGTTCCCAGGACATGCAGAGGACTGTGGATAGTTATTATCCTTACTGTGAGTTTATCTCCAAATAAATAACTTTGTTATACTACAAAAAAATGGGGGAATGGATGGCATTGGATAATAAGTAAATTATTACTTGTGACCTATTATTTATAGATAATTTACATTGCTATAGATTCTTGTATATTGATACAAATTCTAATCATATTTGTTATATTGAATATGCTTCTATTTTTGTTTGAAAAATTGGTGAACCTTTGCAAAGTTATTTTGTCATATTGTATGTATGCATGTTTCTACCTCTCCTTAAGATATTGGTATATTGATGCAATTTTAGGATATAGTTATTATGGTGCACTATACATTTCTACCTCTGATCAAGATACATATCTATCTTTAAACTACATAGGTATTAAGAATTTCAGGTCAATAGTTAGCCATGTTTGTCATACTTAGACTAGTCAGGTTCTTTAGGTGCATAGAGATTGTATTCCACATGGGTAGATAATCTTCAGACACTTTAAGGAACTACAGAATATGTCATTTAAAGAACTTTGGATTCTGTTGATGTGAGAAACAATTGGTCCTGGCAGCACCAATCTATTCCCAAGAGAGTGTTGGCACAGAAGACATTTCACTTGGAACTTGTTTTCTTCTTAGCAACACTGGTCTTTGGTCAAAGAACTGCCCCTGTCTCAACCACTGACAAAACGCATGGTATCCAAAGTGGACAAGCAGGATACAAGAAAAAATGACTGCCAAAACTTGCCAAGACAGGGTAATGATGTGGGAGTGTCATAGATCAATCTGTTGATTTCATTGGTTAATTAATAAAGAAACGGCTTGGCCTAATAGATTAGAACATGGGTGGGTGGAGTAAACAGAACAGAATGCTGGGAAGAAGGGAAGTTAGGCAGACACCATGCCTCTCCTCTCCAGGGCAGACTCTATGGAGGCAGCCACCAGGTCTTACATGCTGAATCTTTTCTGATAAGACACAGATTGTTAGAAATGGGTTAAGCAAGATATGAGATTTAGCCATTAAGGGCTAGATCTAATGGGCCAAGCAGTGTTTAAAATAATAGTTTGTGTGTTGTTATTTCTGGTATAAAGCTACCCGGTGGCTGGGAGCTGGGAGGTGGGAAGCGGCCCGCAGCTCCATCAACAGAATGGCACCCAACGTGGATAACAAAATCCACTGAAAGGCTGAGAAAGCTTGGGAAAGAATAGAGTAAAGCATGTTTTCTTGGTAGCAGCAATTTCTTGGGTCTGCTCTGCTTGCTAGATGCAAGCAAGTGCTCTCATCTAAGAGAGGCTTCCTGATTCAGCTTTAGCTACAAACCTTGCAGCTCTTTT